TTTAGTCACCATGTTTTTGACCCAAAGGAGTGTATATCAACCGTGTTTGAAATCACGTTTGTCGCCTTATATAGTTAGTGAAGGTACAGTCCGATTGTATGTAATTGGGAGGTCAATAATTGTGTGTAAAAAAGAGCGTAATTGCTTCTTTAAGCCTGTTGAAACTAAGGGGTGTTTGGATTGCTTCAAAACGGCTTCTACTCCTTAGAGAGCAAAAGAAAATATGAGAGTGTTTGGATAGAAGAGAAGAAATACTTCTAAATATTTCAAATTGCTTCTAGTAGGCTAGTAGCATCTTTTAGAAGGTGAGAGAGACGAGTTTCTGAAAAACTGATTCTCATTCTATTCCTAATTTTACAAAAGAATCAGAAGCACAATTATTTCCAAGCACCCCTAATTCATAGTTGATTTGTAACTTATAGACAAGAATGTAATATTCTACAACTCATTGGAGCGTCCACAAGTCAGTTTTTAAACTGGCATGGACAGCGGAAATTAAGGTTCTGAGCCTGGATCGAGATTGAACTAGTGGGGGAAGGAGTCTTGATCCCATAGCTCAAGTTTTAGGGCCGGGATCGGCTTATTTGGTCCCCTTTTTGTTTTGTTGCATTAGAACTACCCAGAAGCGTTTTGAAAGGATGGAATCCATTCGGATCTATTTGAATTATTTTTTAAAAATGATTTATTTAATATCGCTTTTCCGGTGGACTTTCTGGTGACAAGGATGGCTGAAAACAAAAAAGAAAGATGGCCTAGCGGTCGTCTTATTGAGGCGCACCTTCCGATAGTTTTCTTTTAATTTTTCGGTCACTTATAAAAATCAGATTTATTTTTAACGGTCTTTTCAGCTGTTTTTAACTGCATGACCCTTTTGTGATAACTGAATTCCAACACATGAACCACTTTGATAAAGAATGAAACATATGACCCTATCCGAAAACGGAACCAATTAAACACAAGTATCTTTTCTGTACTTTTCCCTATATAAAATCGGTGCTTCAGATTTTACGAAAGATATACAAATATATATATGGAATCTATGTATATTTGACTTTATTATAACCATTTATTCGTAAAGCAGATGGGGTCATGAGTACCTGCACAAAACCTGGCCGGCCCGCCAGGCCCGCGCTACCGGCCCGCACAAATGGACGGGCTTGGGCATATATATTTACTCATAGGGCCCGGCTTGGCCCGGCCCACAATAACATATGGGCGGGCTTGGGTTAAGGTGTAGGCCTGTTCGGTCCGATAAGCCCGGCCCGCTACATTTTGTATACATACATACATACATACATACATACATACATACATACATACATACATACATACATACATACATACATGCATGCATACATACATACTAATTTATTTATTTATTTATTTAAATGTACACATGTATATTTATATTTACTAATTTATCTTTATACATATTTATAGCTTATTATGTTTAAATTTAAGTTTTTAGTTCTTAACAACTAGCCTAACTAATATAGCATCTATTTTTGTACTTAAAGATAATACTTTGTGCTTGAATTTTAAATTTTAGATATAGTTTCTCATTATTATTTTTGTGTAAGTATTATTTTTGTATGTGGTGAAAGGCCTATAATAACCATTATAAGCATATTAACCATCGGCATCATGGGAGCCTTCGGCACTCCCATGCCTTCGGCTACACAGGCCCTCGGCCGCAGGGGGAGCCCTCGGCCAACAACTCAATCATCGAAAAGATTCCCTTTGGAGACAAGCAACCACCGCATTTAATGCAACGTCACATCCACCCACCGCATTCAATGCGGAGCACATGCGATTGCCAGTGCCACCCGATTGAGGTGACCCCTCGGCCATCGGATTATCGCCACGTGCCCTCGGCCGTCGGAACGGTCAGGGAAATTAGTAAAACCCGTAATGTATCCGTGAGGTCTTTAACGATCCGGTTCTAAGAATGGAACCATTCAGTACCATGTCATTTCGGAACGATACAAAACGGTTCGGTACAATGCCAAACACATGCTAACAAATTTGACAAATCTTGCAATTAATAAATATCATCACATCAAACCAACTCACATGAAATGTTGGTTTAAATACAAGAAATTGTATACGTTGTACTAAAATTTACAAATATACAAATAGTACAATACAACTAAGAAAAAGTATAACAAAATGATGGTGCACGAGATAAATATCATCTTTAATTTACTAAGCTCATGTGAAAATATATAAATAATATCATTAAATTGTTGAATATAATAGAAAATTTCAACGTTCTTCTTTGTTATTGGTTAAATTTTAGTTGTAGTTTAATTTATAGTTAAACCGTGTGAGCTAAGATTTAAAACACATTAATTAAATTGTAAAATTGCACAAACATGATACAAAAAAAAGTTATATACACTACATTATTAGAAATGAATATTCATTAATGATTTTTAAAACTTTAACAGTCTTTCAATACATACCAAAATGTAACACAAATTATCTAAAAGGAAAACTAACAATAATATACGTATAAACACACATGTTTAGCTATTTTAGGACACACAAATACATATTTTGGCTATAAAATTATTGGTCTATAAAATAGATTTATTCGTATGGAAAAAATTTAAAAAATTCAAATGCATTAAATTTTAATGATCCGGTCCGGTATTTTTCGGTTGTCAAAATATAGGACCGGTCCCGTACCCGTTTCAAACGGTACGGTTTGGGTTCGGGATAAAAAATACATAGAACCGTTTAAATACTCGATATTCGGTTCGGTACCATTACGGGGCGGTTCGGTTCGGGTTTTATGCCCACCCCTAAAAAAAATTATACTACGTATAATTTTGAAAAAATTAAAGTTTTTCCAGATCGGGCGGCTCGGTGGACTACCCGACCCGCTCTTACGGGCGCGTATGGACATGGGGTTATGGCCGTTTTTGCAGGCCGGGCCGGGCCAGCCCATGCATGATGGACAAAAAAATTATAAAATGTCCGGTCCGAACCCGTTTTTGTGCAAGTCTAGTCATGACGAGGACCTCCTCAATGGCCATAGAAATGTCACGTCATGTATGACTTCATAGTAGAGTAACATTTCCCTCATTCCCAAGTTTGTCAACTTTCTCCTTTTACTACGTAATATAAATTATTCCAAAAAAAATTGTCATATCATTTTCTCATTAAAAATTAAAATAGTTTGTTAAGACCCGGCTATTGGGACGAAGGTAATAATTCACAAAACTTACCTAGAATGATAGTCAGTCTTTGACCAAAATGGTCGAACAGGCTGTATTAACCCCATAGTCATATGTATTAGGATGTTTTCTTTTGGACTGAAATTTGCTGGTCTGGTCTGGTCTGGTCTGTTTAAGTCTGGTCTGGTCTGGTCTGGTCTGTTTAAGTCTGGTCTGGTCTGGTCTGGTCTGAACTGGTCTGGTCTGGTCTGGTAAACGTCTGGTCTCTGTGTATTTTATAACTACGGAAGTTTGGTCTGGTCTGGTCTGGTCTGTTTAAGTCTGGTCTGGTCTGGTCTGGTCTGTTTAAGTCTGGTCTGGTCTGGTCTGATCTGTTTAAGTCTGGTCTGGTCTGGTCTGGGACTGAAAACAGTCGAAAAGAAAACATCCTTAGTCGGAAACCACAAAATTAGCTAGAATCTTCGACATGCAATGGTGAACTTTCAAAGTCTGTAGAAATTATCTACAGTCAACATGTATGTAATTCATTTAATCATTTTAATGCTTAATTTCTATGGTTGAAAACTTGAAATGTTCTGTACATATCATGGGCGGAGCCAGAAAAATGTGTGAGGAGGTCGGAATTTAATTATATACAGAATCAAAATGATGGATAGTTATTATACAATATTTGAGTTAAGTGTTTTTCATATGTAGCTGAGTTGAATGATAGTTTAATGAGTATTTTCGGTTAATGTATCGATATATATGTAATGTATCATAATGTTCACACAACTAATGACTGAATAAAGTGCTTTATTTTTAAATTTAAGAATATAATCAACGTCACCCATCAAATTTTGCTAATTTCAAGTTAAGATGATGCTGATTTTTTCAGAAGTCATAACTTTTTAGTCGTAATGAGTTGCGAGACCCATAATATATCAAATCGAAGACATTTTAGAGTTCCACATACTTGAACTTTCAGCGGGGTCGGCTGAACACCTTGACCCCTGGCTCCGCCCCTGGTTCTGTATGTACAGTTGAGTAGTTGTCTACTTGAGTAGTTGACATGTGATTTTATTCTTCAATTTCTCTGGCTTAAGGATTAAGCAATATGTATACTCAAAATAAGTAAATAGCTCTTATCGGATTGACCCTTGTTGACTTCTTCAGTTCTTAGCTTGCACAGATCAAATATACCGAGTATATAGATTAAGAGTCTGTTTAGTAACACTGAAATCAGCTGAATGGGCTGATTTTGCTAAAATTTATGAAGTTCTGGTTGAAGTGGTTGTATTGGCTGATTCTGCTTATTTATGAAAAAACAATTATATTTAAAATATATTATATTTTAAATCAATAAAGAAAAAAAATTATGAAAAAATAGCTAAAATGATCATTTATAATAACGTCAGTCAATATTGCAAAAAAAGTAACTTTAACCTTACTTTTTCTTATTATTACACAATTTAGCGCGTAAAATCAAAAATTACGTATTTAGTTAAATAAGTTAAATAGTTGATTGATGATATCCTCACAATATACTCACAATATCTAGAGCTAGAGCTTTCTACATGTGCTTTTTGTTCGGGTTTCCTCTGTATCTACTTTCAAACAAATACATAAAATCAATACTTATGGATAATGTTTTCTCATAAACTATTATTTGAGCGTTGTATGCTCCGCCTTGTGTGGCTTGAAATCTAAATATTATGTTTGTGTATGAATGTTTTACATGTGAATGATATTGATGACGCTTTATATTATTCGAGTTTGTCTGATTGTAGTTGACTTATTCGGAAACCAACAAGCTTTAAATATTTTTCTCCCAAATAATACTCCGTGAATATCTCGAGATATTTTTAATTTCTTTTGAAACCCAAATTATGATTTTGATACATTTTAGATATCGAAGAAAAATGAATAACTATGATAAAAAAAAAATGAATAACTTGGACATGAAAAGTTTAGCATGGCACCATGGTCATCAGCTTTCCACGTGTCCACGATCCACGCACAACACATGGACAAATGTGGTCAACGCAAGCCATGTGGCAAGCCACGTAAACGCGCGCGCCAACGTTTCAATATTCTGATGATGAATGTTTCTCTTCTCATCTCATCAATATCAATATATAATACACACCAATTACCATACGGTAATAAAACAAAGAAATATGGCCTTCTTAATGATGAAGAAAATTGTTCCAATTGTTTTCGCGTCAAGGAAAATGACAAGGCCTTCATTTTTTCTACAAACTACATTTAAAGCAAATCCTATCTCGGCCACGGCGGGTTCATCCTCCGGCAAACCTCCGCCGGAGTTCCCCGCGGCGCCACCCCCGGATATGCCCACCGAGTCATCTGAGGTTCCTCAAGCCCCCAGCGTGCCTGACTATGACCGGACTCCACCAGAGATGCCTTCCGGTCCACCGCCGCCTCAGCCGAAGACCGACGAGTCAACCCGAGACGATGACCCTTATTCGCCCGGTCCGGTTTTGCCTAATCCTCATCAAAGCCAGACTAGTAGGGTGGTTCAACCCCATGGGGCTGAAGTCAAGACTCCCATCTTGCCAGAGCTCACTCACTTTTTGGGTTTAAGGACATCTCTCTCGGATTGAGTTTTGTTTGTGTCATAGATCACTCGTAATCTATATATATTGTAAGATAAAGGTTCTCACGTTGTTTATGATATAGTTTGAGGATCATAACTTTTAATGATTATCTCATTAACAATTTTTTTTCATCAAATAGAATTTATATATTCAGAAAATACACTAAAAGATTTATGAAACTGTAAAAAGAAAAAATTAATTTAATATAAGTGGAATATATAAAATATGAGATTGTTGAAACAATTCGTATTCATGAATAGTGAACCATTCCACATGAACAGTGTCTAAAAAGTGGTTTCAAACGTGATCCGGCTCTTCCGGTTCAATAGTTTTCGAATGTCGATTCTGAATGATAGGATGGTTATAGTTTTGTTGCAAGACACTTTTAATAGTCTAATCTTAATTATGTATTTAATCAGAGACATGTATTTGTGATTCATATATCTATATTATTAATCTATATACGATAGTACTTGTAAGCCTACTTTAATGAAGTAGGGGTGTAAACGAGCCGAGCCCGAGCATTGGTCGGCTCGAGCTCAATTGATCTCGGTTCGAGCTCGGGTCAAGTTTCGCAAATTAAGTTTTATAGGCTTGAACTCGAAGAAGGTACTTATTCATTCTCACTTTAGTTTATCCTATCTCTCCTTTACTAACATTTTTATACTTTATTTTAAGGTACATATTATAATTATTACAAGTTATGATTATAATAATAATACTACATACAATGTTATTATTTTTCTAATTATTACTATTATATGGAGTAATATACTCTGTGAAAAAGTATTAAATATGAAATAATTCTAAATTACAATACATATTTCAAAAAAATACATACTCCTATATAATTATTACATTTACATATAAATATATAAAATGTGACATAAAGGCTCGCGAATAGGCTCGCAAGCCACAAACCTAAAATAAATATAGGCTTGAATTGAGTTTGTTAACGATTCGAGTCGAGCCGAAGTTGAGTCGAGCTTTTCCCGAGCGATCCACGAGCAGCTCACGAGCGGTTTGACTCATTTACACCCCTAGTACGAAGTACGTCCTGACCCTTAAAATTTAGTCAAATTTGACCGGTACGAGAATAAATAAATTAAAAATTAAAAATTGTGTCATTGATGTTTGTGTAGAGGAGAAAGAACTAACTGAAACCACAAATTATTAAAGAAAAGTTGACAAAGTTTTAATCGACGGAGGAAGTATATAATAAGATCACGTGAAACTGGAGTAAAATAGGTCAAATTATGCAAATGAGTCAAATAGTGAACCCTAAATAGGACTGTTGAGTCAAGTTATTATTGAAAAATACAATCATTATTTATCATGTTAATATCCAGTACTGCAACTGTTTTGAGAGGAGTAATGAAGAAATCATTTCAAGATAGCAGTAAATTAAATATTTTCATGTTATTTCTATTTCAAGAAGAAAAATATAGCAATCATATTTTAAAATTAAATTTCAAAACTTATTAACTTAGGAACTATCGTAATGTACGTTTTCATTCAAATGTTACCATCTACTCTTCAGTTCATATTTTACCTTACGTGTATAGCATCAAACATCGAACATGGTTTTCTTAATTAAAGACAATTACTTGAATGAATTTTAATTGAAGTGAATGGACATGATTAGATTTATAGCCAGGGGCGGAGCTACCGGGGTCAGGGTGGTCAGCCGACCCCGCTGAAAATTTAAGATTGTAGAGCTCTGAAATATCTTCGATTTGATATATTATGCCTCTCGTAACTCATTACGAGTAAAAGTTATGACTTCTGCAAAATCAGCACTCGAAATTAGTAAAATTGTGATGCGTAATATTAATTATATTCACAAAATAGTGTGTAATTCACTCGTTACTTACATGACATGACTTAGGGACAGAGCAAATACAACATATCTTACTGCTACGAGTGCCTACTCAATAAATGATTCTTTTCTAGTAAGAAGTCTTGATACTAAACCGAGTAAGATTGAAGAGAACCATCACTACAAAAAAACACGGGATTGGCAGGGATTTTGGCACGGATTTGACACGAATTTTGGCAGGGATACGCCAAATCCGTGCCAAAAACACTTTGGCACGAGCTGTTTGGCACGAAAAATTGATAGCCCGTGCCAAATTCCGTGCCAATCCCGCCTTTTTTTTGTAGTGATAGAGTACTAGGGTAAGACAATGGGTCTCATCCGAGGTACTCAACTCAACCCGTATAAAACATGTTTATAATATATGTGACATATACGAAGTATATTAACCACATATACTCTATTAGTTTCATTTAAACTATCATTTATCTAAGCTACATTCAATTCGGGTATTGTCTAAAAGTAATCTACCGTTTTGATTCTATGTAAATTTGATTTCGATCCCGTTGAGTCATTTTTCTGGCTCCGCCCCTGTTTATAGCATATCTTGACTTACCTAAATCGATTGTTTTAATGTTAGATTAGAAACTGTATAACGCAATAATGTTAAAAATAATTTTACTTATACATGTAGGCTTCCATGTCTGTCAGGTAGAATGTATTTTGTATGTACACAGATAATTGGATTTCATTTTGATAAGTGAGCTTTGATCGCGAATTGTCTATACAAATCACTTTTCAAGATCACAGACAATTCGTTTTATTTATTAAAATTAAAATGAAAATTAGTATGTGCACATATGTAGTATATTCGGCGTGTAAACCGGGTGCAAGCCAAAGTCTTTTTTTATCGCAGAAGGCAAACCACCAAAATCAGTGGGGTAAATGGCGGGGGACATTTATCAAATTTTATTAGAAATATTTAAAGACCGGGGTGTAGGCCATAGTCTACATACACGTATATTACATTATTATTACACAAAAAGGTGAATTAATAATGGCAGAATACTAAATAAATAAATAAATAAATAAATAAATAAATAAATAAATAAATAAATAAATAAATAAATAAATAAATAAATAAATAAATAAATAAATAAATAAATAAATAAATAAATAAATAAATAAATAAATAAATAAATAAATAAATAAATAAATAAATAAATAAATAAATAAATAAATAAATAAATAAATAAATAAATAAATAAATAAATAAATAAATAAATAAATAAATAAATAAATAAATAAATAAATAAATAAATAAATAAATAAATAAATAAATAAATAAATAAATAAATAAATAAATAAATAAATAAATAAATAAATAAATAAATAAATAAATAAATAAATAAATAAATAAATAAATAAATAAAACTCATTTGAAAGTGACTATATTGAAAGACTACGGCTTTGTTTGCAACCACTTGAACTTAAATAAAAGCACTTTTTGGGAAAAAGTGATTAGTAGTAAAAGTTGGTAGTGTTTGATAAAATAAGTGCTTTTTGTGTAATAGAAAAAGTAAAATGTAGATTCTACACGAAAACCGAGATAGTAAAAAGTTGGTAGTGTTTGATAAAATAAGTGCTTTTTTCTTTATAAAAAAACCAAAAGCACTTATAAATAGAGTTTGCAAAGAGAGCGTACTACTGGTCTAATTTGCAAATAGAGCGTACTACGTGTCAAAATATAATCCATTCAAATTTGAAATTAAGTAACTAATACTCCGCATAATTTGTAAAATTCAAACCAGAATTGAAGTTGAAAATGACATACTACGTACATCTTTTGAAAACGCAGACTAGCTAGCTAGGTCTTTAAAATTCTTTTTTTTTCACCCGAGGACTACCTAACTCTTTGTTGTTATTGTAAGTATTAAATTTGGTAAAGTTTGTATGATACAAAATTAATCACATAAAGTCATTTGAATGTCTTCCCAATTGAAATGTTAGCTGAAATTTGATATGAGTAAACTAGACTTATTGAATAAAATGCTCAAAAAAATTTATCAAAAAATTCCATGGACCGATTTAAATGTTTGTTAGCTGAAATTTGATACGAGTAAATTAGACTTATTGAATAAAATGCTCAAAAAATTTATCAAAAAATTCCATCGCGAACCGCCCCAAATGGCGACGGCTGGACAGAATTTCCTATATAAGGACTTATTTGATCTCTTTTACGGTTTTTATGCAACTTCGAGGACCAATCTGACCCTTTACTCGATTGTGAATGGTAGGATGGCTCTAGTTTAAGTATCAAAACCGGCTATTTCAATTTTGGTTTAATTGAAAGACACTGATAGGTCTAATCATAACTTTTTTTTATCATGGTCTAATCATAACTATAACTATGTATTTAATTAGAGACATGTATTTGTTATTCATATATCTATATACATGTAAGCCTACTTTAATGTAGTAAATACTTCCTCAATTCCTTAAAATTTGGTCAAGTTTGAGCGTGAGGATAAATAAAGAATTAACAGGAACCATAAATGCTTAAAAAAGAATTGACAAAGTTTTGAAGGATGGATAAAGTATATAAAAGATTATGTGAAACTGAAATAAAATATGTCAAATTATGCAAATGAGTCAAATAGTGAACTCAAAATAGGATTGTTATTTTTTTTCTCGAAATAGGAGTCATATGTCTAGTACTATAACTATTTTGAGAGGAGTAATGAAGTAATCATTCCATGACTGTAGTAAATTAAATATTGTCAAACTTGATCCTACTCTTCCGGTTCAATAGTTTTGTAAAACCAAATTGGGTAGTACCGTGGTGAATGTCGATTCTGAATGGTAGGATGGCTCTAGTTTAAGTTTCAAAACCGGCGATTTCAATTGTGGTTTAATTGAAAGACACTAATAAGTCTAATTATGAATTGAAAATTATTTAATATTATGGATTTATTATTCTATGATAGTCCATAATATTAATAAACTGTTTTAAATGACAACGGGCTATTCTCAACCATGTTCGGCCTTGTTTGAATGTATGGGGCCAAGATCGAAATCTACTGAGCTGCTTGTGATGGTTATTGGACCTGATAAAAAAAATATAAGTATGGGCCAATTCGAATATAATTTAGTAATTAAATTAATTTAGATCGCTCAAATATCCAATTAATTTAATTATAAATTAAATCTTTA